GAGAGGTGAAACGTCTTCAAGTAACTTAAAGAAGTCCAGACGCTTTTCTTTGCAAGCTCCTTTGACTACGATGACCTGGATGACTGAGAACCTTCACGGTTCATTTGGAGTCATTTTGCATCTCCTCTGTATCTTTTTTTGCTGTTATTTTTGTCATTTTTAGTGACCAATTTGTTGCTGCTTTTGGTTGTTTTGCCCTTTAATGTAATAATGCAGTAGTTTGTCTCTTATTGTTGGAGTTGTTTGTGGTTTTTTTCACATTACAATGGCCATTTTGTTTCTGTTTGTGATTGCTTTAGGTGTGTGTGGTTTTTTGTTGTTGTTGTTGTCATATTTAAGTAATCGTCTCTTTATTTTTGTCTTTTTTATTTATTTGAATGGCTTTTTTTTTGGGTTGGGGGTGTAGTGTGTCTCAGAGTTGAAGGTCAACTAACCCTTTGTGCCCCTTATCCACCAAAGAATATCCAGATTGTTTTCTGAAGAGTTGTTTTATTCTACTACTCACACTGACATGTTTAAAGTATAAATGTGAACTCATATTTACAGCCCTGTTTCAGACACGTACACACTACAGTACACAAACAAATCGTGTATGCCTGTCAGTGTGAGTGTGTTGGAAGATCCAAGCACACACGTACAGACGCTGCTATACACACACTCCGGTGGGAGGAGCCAAACCTCTCGCAGCTCCGAGTTTGTCAGTTTCCTAAATATAGCGGACAGGATCTGTCCGTGTCTTTCAGCCGGAGACACTTTGATAAAAAGCCCGTATTTACAGAAGCACAGGGAGGCCAGTGGGGGTAAGTGGAGCAAACATGTGTCTTTGTATGTGAAAGTGTGCTGACTGTGTTCTGTGCTTTGGAGACTGAAAGGGAGGGGAACCACGACCCTTCTTGAAGTGCTGCGATCTTCTTTCAGTGTTTGAATTTCTTCCAAAACTGCCTTAAATGTTGCTTCTGCGCTGCTTCATCTCTGTCTAGGCTATATTTGGTAACGGTTCGTGCTCGTTGTGATCTCATGTCTGAGTGTCGCTTACTGTGAATACTGTACGCGGAGGCTACTGTACATGTTGTGATAAGTGGTCTGAGTGAGAGCTGCATAAAACTTTGATTGGATTGGAAAATCTTTGACAAAGCGTTGCCTTTTCTGCGTATCTCGCTTCGAATATCGCAAAACCTGAGGTGTCCTGAACAACGTGTGTTATTTCCTACAGGTACACAACACCCAAAACTATAACCATAAATGAGCCTTTACAAGGGTTCAGCAAAGCAGTCATGTTGGAAGTCCCCATCAGTGTACATGATCACTGATCGAATAGGAGTGAATTATACAAGTTTAAATAGTTTTAAGCCAAACTATCCAGTAGTCTAAAGCAAAAATTAAAAAAGAAAAGAAAAAGAAGTCCAAACCATAATTTGTTTAAAAACTAGTTGAAGCAGTGGGATGATTGAAGAGTTATTACAACTCATCACAAAATATCTGCTGGAAGATTTCAAAGTACACGCTGCTGGAGATCCTGTGACGACCAGTACACATAGCTGGGGAACAACAATCAAAAATTATAGATATATGTCAATAAAATAGAAAATTTAACAATAAGTTTTTCAAGTTTTTTGACTCTCTGAACCTGACACATTACGCTTAAGCATTTTGCCTAAAGGGGAACTGCTGCTTTAATCCTTATTTTACTGCACATGCTCATGTTGACCCTTCTCATATTGCCAGATTTGAGAAGTTGTCGCTTTCAGTCAAAACCGAAAAATTACGTTGCTTAGTAGGTTTATGATTTACTTTCAGAACCACCACACATCAAGAGGGTGAGGTGCTGCTCACAAGAACTGGGTGCTGGCTTCCCAATTATGACGAATCAGGAGAATAAAGGCTTTTAGGAGCAACAGAACAAGCAATGTGAATTAAATAAGAATCTTTAAAGCTATCAATCATGCAAACCTACACATATAGCACCCTAATAAAAATGTATAGCTTTACATGATGTGTCTATTAAAATAGAGTAAACTTCAAATCAGGCTTGAAACTCTCTTAATAATATATCTGTTATTACAACCCTAGTGCTAGAACACCCTCGTCTTACTTCATTCATTCCAAGAGTAACTCATCAGAGCTGAAAAAAAGAAGAAGTGTGGCAATCATTTCAACTAGAGATATGTCATGTAGGAAATAAAGCAACAATGTGAAATAATGGCTAAGAATTCAGTGAAACGGATCATAATTTTGAAAAATAAAATAAACTATTGCATTTGTGTTGTCATGTGAGACTGTAGCCTGTCAGAGTTCAGATGTTTTAGTCTGATCTTGGCGGGGTTAAAATATTTAAAAAGCTAAAAAGTTCTCTCTCTCTCTCTCAACATACAATTGGATATAATGAAACCAGTAAAACTGTTTTGGAAAAGTCTTTTAAATATGAAACGTCATGAAATAAACAGTTATGACATAATACAGAACTTTTTTCTTCGTTTGTTTGCAGTACCGAGATTATCCACTAGGAGGAATTTATTAGCAAGGCTGAGTGGTGGGGCATATGCAATTATTTGAATACATCCACACCAGTAATTTCCTGTCCTCTTCCTCTCATCCCAACCAGTTGCAGTAGATAGCCGACCCTCCCTGAGCCTGGTTCTGCACGAGGTTTCTTCCTGTTAAAAATTAAGTTTTTCCTTCCCACTGTCACTAAAGCATTTAAAAGCACTCAAAGCTCAAAGGGAGTCATATAATTGTTGGTGTTTTCTCTGTTTTCTTTGTATTATTGTAGGGTCTTTCCCTTGGGACAACTGTTGTTGTGATTTGGCACTATATAAATGAATTGAATTAATGGATACTTTACCTAGCAACAGTTATAGATGGCAATTTGCATTTTTATATGTATTTTCATATATTTTATTGAAACCACACAAAATAAACCTCTTTTTAAAAAATGATTTGGACTGTAGGCATCACACATTTGCACAAAAGCAAAGTCAATCTTCTTCAGTTTTTAGAAAACAGTCTGCTATTTAGAAAGCAGCATGTCACTTAAATCAGTCTCTCCAAGAAGACAGAGAATGAGTTCAGTCTCCAGTTGTGTGATTTCTATTAAACAGGCTGTGGTTATTTTATTGGTGTCTGTTACTTAATAAAACAGCTAGCTCATCAAATCACTGCTTATCGCTGAGATAAGGGATAAGCACTGACTAACTCATGAAGTTTAAAAACATGGTTTCCCTCACTTTGTCGTAAAGTTGTATTTAAAGGATATATGAAGATTATTTAATTTGCTAACCTGAACTTGAAGTGTGGTGTGTTTTTAGTTCAATTCTACTTGGTAAAAGAATGATTTTGTTAAGGGTGGTGTCACGGATGCTGGGTTAATCATTTCTTTGATAGTCTAACTGTGGCACTATAAGGAGCACTGTGGAGTGTGTCAGCATTTAATTGCTAAACTCGTAATACAGCACTTTTCCTTTGATAAACATGAGATGGGAAAAACAGCGACATAATATAATGTCTGTGGGAAACACCTAAAAACTTTTTAAATGTGTTGGCTTATAAGAAAGACCAATCCACATTTTTTACACATTGATTGTTAATAGACAGAAGTTATTGGCTCTGTAGTTCAGGCATTCATCCTTGTCCCTTCTGCCTCATTCCTGCTCTTTGTTTTCATATTTCATTAGCAGGGCGAGCAGCATGTACCATCAGCTTCAATTATCCTCCCTGTCAGCGGACCGGCAGGGCCTGTCTGCTGGCTTTAGTGATTACAGGCTTCAGGGGACAGGTAATCAGGTCATGGTTACACTGTCACCCTGTCAGACTGCTGAGACCACAGGGAGCAAATGGGATGAAAGAACTCTACCATCTTCAGTCAGTTAAGGCTAGATATTGATAGTGTATATAACCCGAATACTGTCTGGCATCATTTTGGTGCAGTATCACATAGTGTATATATTTTCTTTCCATTAAACATGGTTGAAACTCTGATGGCATCTCCCTGGTCAAAACTAGTCATGTTAGAATGAGAAAAAAAAAGACCATAAGCGAACAAAATCAGTGTTGTATCCATGTAGCATAGACGTTGAGTCAGACCATTTCTTTAAAAAGTGAGAAATATAGATTAGATGACTGCAAAGAAGGAACCAAAAATCATTTTTCCATGATGACTAGAGAACATGAAAAGATCATGTTGATGTTCTTCAGCATTGAAATGTTTTTTGGGTTCTTCTAAGAGTTTCGTTCAGTTTTCTGCAAAAAGCTTTCAAGGCATACTATACAGGACTTGCTAAACACCAGATGGAAGCTGGTGATCATAGCTGAAAAAATTCTTAGAGACCAAAAACTGCGGTGTCCCTCAGTTTCTTGACTCCAAGTTAACCTTAATGTTTAACATCAGCCACATGAGTTTAAAGTTGCTCCCTGTTTTTTTTGCACAGGTTCAAGTTATCTGAATGGCTTAATAGCTGTTATCCAGGGTTTAAAGTAAAGCAGTGTACTGGGACTTGATGGGAAGTAGTGCATTCTTAAAAACACATCATATGTTATGATGGGTTTCACACGGGAATGTTCTCATCACCCAGTTGCATTGCATAGTGGTTTCATGCACATCGTGATCTAATTATTTTAAATCTGATTAAAATACATGTTGCTAGTGCTTATGTTTAAAAGAATATAATATCCCTTGATACTTATGTCAGCCCATTTGGAGAACATGGACCCTGCCTTTCATCATTGTTTAACTTAAAATTTAATGCAACTCACAGTGCTGCTTCTAAAACCCATTAAACAGACTATGAGCATGTGGATATCCTAGCAGAAATGATAGACATTATTACTGTGTCTGCCAAAATAAAATGGGTACCCACCCCCCAAAAATATCTAAGTGTTTTATAAAGAATGATGCAAGAGTTGGTGCTGAAGATGTTACTAGGGTGTGTCCAGTACATGCAGAAGAAATTCAGCACCATCATATTTTCTTGGTTTATACCAATGCTTCTATAAATTTATACCTAATACAAAAGACTGTTTAAGCCTAACAGTCGTTTATTTACTTAGATATTATTCAATATGTGCATACAGCCTGCGTGACACTTGCAGGGCACGGTCCCAGATTTTGCTGATTTTACATTCATCATTGAGCTACCCAGGGTAAGTATGTAACCAATGATAAAAATATAAAACATAATTTCCCAGAAAAGAAATTAATTTATCTGACAATGTGTGTTTTCAAATATTTGGAGGGGAGAGCTTTTAAATACAGTTATATGTAAGCTATGCAGCTGTCATCACTGGTACTCCAGCTATAAGTACTTTTTAGCTACAGTACCACGATGCTGCTTGACTCAGCTGTCATGATGATATTTGCTAGCCTTGCATTGCTATACAAATGTAATTAGTTTATAACATTTTAGTTTAGTTGTGTTTTCTAAGACGCATTATCACTGGGCACAGACCAAAGCACCTCTGGAAACAATTGGACGATTACAACCAATCAGAGCAAAAAAATGTGATGTATTGCTAATGGATGGAAAAATGTCATTTTATCAAACCCGCCCCTTGGTGGATTAACAGTTGTCTCAATGCCAACCAGGCTTGGAACAGTGACTTTCCACATTCATGTTATTCCCAGGCTTGGTCTTGGCCATTCATGCACATTGTCTAGTATTCAGTGTGAGTCACCACAGACCAGGGTTGGGGAACTCCGGTGTCCTGCAGATTTTAGTTGTGTCCTTGATCCAACACAGCTGATTTAAATGGCTAAATTACCTCCTTGACATGTCTTGAAGTTCTCCAGAGGCCTGTTAATGAACTA